CTGTATTGCTTTAATAATATTTGCATATGTATCATCACGTAATTGTTCCAGGTGTATATTAATAGTTTTTACTGTGCAAATTGTCAGTTCATTATCCTTTTGTATTTCTTGTTCTATAATGATGTAACATACGTTACACACGAATATAATATTTAGTGTATGGTTTGTTTATAATGAATAATTATATATTTCATAATGTACTAAAAAAAAAAATCACATATCGAGCATTAATTTCATGTCGAGTGTTACTGCTGGGTAACTACTCCCCTCACGCCGCCAAAGTCATTGTACATTTTTATTACAGATTGTATATATCCAAATAAATGTTAAAAAAAAATTCAAAAAAAAAACACATATCGAGCATACCCATACTAGAATATTTGAAAGAAAACGTATTACTTATAATATTATACAAAAGTCCACAATAAATCCTACAAAAAATTATAGTTTTTTTAAATCCGTATACATAATTAAAAGTTAAAAGAAACTGTTTACTTATAATATTCCCATTGTCCCATTGTTCTAAATATAATAAGTACTTAGGTACTATCTTATTTCACAAAATAATTTGTATATATATAACTGTATTGTATACTGTCACTTCCTTATAAGTTATAACCTAAACATTTTAATACCTATTAGTATGTATTTTTTAATTATTTTTTTTTTTTTGAAATCGACATTTGATCCGATACCAAAAAAAAAAAACAAATCAATCAGCATAATAGTATCTTACACAGAGGCACGAAATAATAAAATATAACAATAATCCTAAAGACTAAAATATATTTATTTAAATATTTTTATTTTAACCCTCAGGATTGTACAAATATGCGTTGCGTCACATTATAAAAATAAAATATAATATACATGGCTTCTTAACACTGAAAAGTTTCAATGCGCTTTCCCCAACAAATATAGTATAAGGGTGAACTACGATTGTATAGAGATTTATTCAATAACGCATTAATTTTTTTAACATAATACGCTCTTCGGTTATAAATGTGAAGTGTGCATAATGAATATCAATGTTCAATGCCAAAAGAATCACCTAACCCCTCTATGCCTAAAACATTATTAAGAGTTATGACAATATTTACATGTGTATTGATTTATGTATTGTTTTAATTTTTCAGGTTGTACTGGTTGCATAAGTTGTGCGTCGTTCTATTTTTCTATTTCATATTACAATTGTGTTGGACTTGTATAAAATATATATGTTCATTTTAAATTAAATATAATATTATAAATGCATGTGATATACATATAATCATCGGCCCTATATGATTACGAAGTGATAAATTATAATGGAAATTATAGTTTTTAAGAAAACATCAATATTTTTTCTGTACCTACCTACTATTGTAATTCGCGTATAATTACACTATTGGCATATTATTTATTTATGTATACTAATATATTTACCTAATGTATTATAATTATTTTTTATAAAAAAATCAGTCTTCGTTATTCTCATTTCATAAATATACCTAATCTAACCTATGTAAATGGTAAATGGTAATATAGTGGTACATAGTGGCGGTGTGTCGGCGTTTATTTTTCAAAGAGGCTGATCACTACTCACTATAATACGCAGAAAGGTCAATGCAGATCACAAACCAGTGTTGGGTTTTTGTTGTTGATATCAATGGAAAATATATTTAGTGGTATAAAATAAGAATTTTAAATAAGAAATAGATATCGAAATACAATTGTAAAGGCCAACACCCCTATACATATTTTTAATATTGTACCATAAAGAATAGATCACTATTGTTAATGCCATAAGTTCGGCAGATAGTTGCTATTCTTAAATTAGGTATAAACCTTATTATACTCGTATAATATAATATGACATTGAAGCTTAAATGTTGACGAAGACTCGATATTGGCGATAACATTATTATATACGCTTCACGGCGCAAGGTGGCCCTGAAGAGAACAAAATTTCCATTTCAGTGGCTTATTTTTATGGGTAAAACACTATTCCGTACGTTCGTTGTCGGCGATACCTTTTTAGGGATTTTACCAATTGAGTGTAAAATAAGTAAATGACCTTTTCATATGTCTACCAATATTGCTCTAGTTTCATTATCTGGGTCGATATACCAATAATTGCGGTCGGTACTAATTACCGATAAATAGGTAATGATAGTATAACGATAATGAAAAATTGAATCACTTAAATCCATAGGTCCTCCTACTGTAGTTCGTTGTTAATAATGAAATAATGATGGTTCATAAAAGGCTTGATAAAATAATTATACGGAATAGTAGAAAAATGAATTATATAGTTTTTCGGTTTTTTCGAAAAAAAGATAATAAATAATAATATGTCATATTTTATGCACCTTCACTCTCCGTCAGGAAATATGTCAGCTACTTTCTCTCACAATAGTCAACCTTTACCTATAGCTCAACATGTACGTTACCTTGGTATTCATATCGACCGTCGTCTTACCTGGCTACCTCACATTAAAAACAAAGTTCAATCTCTAAATAATCGCCTACGCATCTTCCGTCCCTACTAACATCCAAAAATATAAAACAACCAAATAAATTATTAATTTACAAACTACTCCTCTGGAGCCATCTGGACATACACCATACAGCTCTGGCAAAACATTTCAAATACCAATCGCATCCAAAAAGTCTAGTCTAAAGTCATTATAGTACCATTTCAAAAGCTCCATTCTATGTCTCAAATAAATCCCTAAACTCCGATTCTAAAAATACCAACAATCACTGAATTAGCCAAACTACATTACAAACACTCCAATAACCGATTATATCGTCATCCCAATCCACTTATTTCTCAACTCGCATCCATGTCCATACCTGGTAATCTCAAAAAGGGATTAAAAATATTACAGTGGTGTCGTGACCTGCTCACATGAGTATATTATTAACTGTTATGTAAAATTATGTAAAAAGAAAAAAATGTAATTGCAAGTGCATAAGTTAGCTATAATAGTTAACTATCTATACGAAGTACCTCCACTGGGAGGTCTCTTTACTATGTGTTTCCTGTGTGTACTAAAAAAAAAAGTAGGTACCTATCAATTAAGCTTATTGTTCAACTTTTGTAACAGATTGCATAGTAAAAAAATTATGTTAAAAAAAAATAAAAAATATTATAATATGTAGGACGAAGGTATTAATATAGGACGTTACACCGACATTTTGTCATCTCAGTCTTACAAGTGCGTATAACATAGCAAATTGTATACACTCCAAAGAACACGTGTACCTCTGTTAGTTTAAAAGTTAGAGCGAATTGACTTAGGTATAGAATTTAAGATTATTATTTAAGCAACCTCATCGGCTTTTTATTATATATTATATTTTTAGTTTTTAAGTGAGTTATGAGTATTTTAAGATGTACAAATAATTTACAATTTTTAATACTCATAACTTGCCTTAAAATTAAAATATAATAATAAGCCCACGCGATTGCCTAGACCTTACCTTTAAATTATTTAAGCGGTCAATTGGATTGTATTTAGAAGTTTCAAGTACCCACGAATAATATTATACAATCACAACAAAATAACTAAAATAGTTATTCTAGGTTTTTTATTATGTAATCTCGTCCAAATTTGAATTTAAAATGTCTGTAAAAAATAACTGTGTTCATATATTTTTTAGATTTTTTGGTTACAGTATGAACTATTTAGGAGAACCTTTGTTTTAAATTTGTAATCCTTAGCTATAAAAACTGAACATTTTATAATTTATTAATTACAATGATTGATAATTTTCGATTAATTTTGATAAATTTTGTCAAAATTCGATCTTTAAATGCTTATAAAAAAAAATTGTGCCTATGTATTTTTAATATTTTTCAATTGCTATTGTAACAATATATCAGGAGCTTTGTATTAAATTTTTACACTTTTTGGCCCAACAGATAAAACTTTATTGATATTTATAGAAAAAAAAACTAAAAAAATTTGAAAGCTGTAAATATCCGTAAACAGCTCAAAAAGAGTCAAAATATTTTCAAAATTGTATGGTGTATAAGAAATGCTAATATAAACATTCAGTGAAATTTTCATGTATCTACAGTTATTCGTTTTACAACAAAATAAGGAAATCGCTACATGGGAAATCGAGTGAATATCCAATGTTGTAAACATTTGAATTTCAAACGCTCATAAAAATTTAATTTGACTTTCTTATAGACATTTGTTTTTTGATAAAGGTAGATAATCTTATAAGGAATCTTCTATTTCATTTTCAAATCTCAGATTTAAAAAGAAAATTTTTTACGAATTTTTAACTCAAAATAATTTGCTAATTTTCGTGATTTTTCCATATTTTGTCAATTTTTGAACTTTAAATGCTTATAAAAAAAAATTGTGACTAAGGATTTTTAATATTTTTCATCTGCCTTTGAAACAATATACTAGGAGCCTTCTATTAAATTTTCAAGCTTTAGCAACCAACAAATAACATTTTATTGATATTTTTAGAAAAAAAACTAAAAAAAAATGGAAAATGAAAATGTCCCTAAACAGTTCAAAATATTTTGAAAATGTTATCGTGTATAGAAAATGCAAATATAAACAATTAGTGAAAATTGCATGTATATACGCTCATTTGTTTTAGAGTTACACCAAAAACCAAAATCGATTTTCTCGAAAACAGATTTTGAGTAAAAATTCCCGTTTTTCCTTAATTATTCTTTTGTTTTTCACGGCGCTTTTGAAAACTACTGGAAAATGTTTACTTTTGACCCCCCAAAGTACCAACTAGATTCACTTTCCTATCAGAAAAGATATTGTTGAAGAAAATCCAAGCACTTTTACTGTCCTAAAACGTGATGACAGACACAAAAAAAACACACATCATTGTAAAATCAATACATTCATCGTTTCACTCAGAATCTAAAAATTATTTTGACATTGTCGTGAAAAAATAAATTATTACGGCCATCCTTGTATTGTAATATCATCGTAATAGGTAATATTGTAATAAATAAATTATATAAGACGTGTTCATGATTTTACACGTTTTACCCGCGTGCAGGCGTAATGGTAAAGGGTAATGCACTGTAAACAAAACGTCCTCGAGATCGAGAAAAAAAAAACCGTCAAAAATGTAAGGCGAGGTGTATGGTTGAGCCGTCCGTACGATGCTTGTTTTGTTTTGCTTGAATTTAAAATTAGACTTATAGAAGTAAGGGCTTTACAGTTGTGATCATTGCGCGATGGAACGCATATGAAGACGTGTGTGTGTTCGCCATGCGGCGAGTTCGGTACGCAAACGCGCTCGAGCACCTCTGACGATAGAAGTCGTTCGTCTCTGCTTATATATAAAGCAACATGGCCGCGAACTTCACTGCGGCGAGTGACCGACAACTTTTCTGCGTTTAACTCCGACCATAGTGTCTGCCAGACCGCGCCACTCGTCAAACAGCCTTCCACTTTTCGGAACACTGGAGGGTTCGTCACCTCACGGCTCACATACGAATACATCATTATCGTGGAGTGTGAGACTTTTCGGTCACTTCATCAACAAATTGCCGACTGCACGTTTTCCCCGGGGCGACAGTAAACGACGAGCGTGAATTATTCATTAACATAAAATAAATACTGATTTTGGGCAGATATTTTTTTTTAGTAGGTATTTCAACTCTTTTACAAAATCACCACACATTCACGGATTGTAGGAAACCAACGCTTTACCATACCTTAGATTGCAAAGTGCAGAGATTGTTAGAAAGAGATAGTAGCCAATACCCGTTGGGACCAAAGAAAGTGTTAAGTACCCCTTCCAAAAATTGTAGTTTTTTAGTTATTTTTTCTCACTCACGCTATTAATGGGTATGGATTGACCGAGTAGTCAACAAGATCCACCTATTTATGTCCACCTTACATTTATGTTTATTCTTACACAATGATGAAACTGGTTTTCTCTCTCAAAAAGCAGTCCATTTCTTAATAGTATTATGTCTATTGTATCCCATTCAAGAAGGAACCCAATAGGATCTCACATCAAACGCCAGTTCAACATATTGTCTCTATTCCGTGATCCAGCCATAGTCTATTGACATAAATATTAATACATAAATGTTCATCAATGGTGTACCAAAGTGGCTAAGTGTACTGATAAATACACCTTGCTATGTACTTTAGTTCACTTGCCTTACATATCATTAGGTAGTTATAATGAATTGCACCAATTACAATTACACACTTGGAACAATAAAAATATTTAAAATATAATTATAAACATTTTTGATCGAATAAGTAGGTGTTTTTAAAAATTAACAGTCTTTGATTAAAAGAATAACAAAGTATATTTGTCTTACAATATTATAATATACAAAACTAAGTGTTGGGGAGTGGGTACTGCTAGAGTTGAACTTCTACTTAATCTTGTAGGTGTTATAATAAATGAAGTCTAAAAACTGAGAATAAAATATTATAATTTGGTGTCAAATAAATATTTAATCATTGTTTTAAACTGAATTTAACGCTTCGATATTATGTTTTAACCAGACATTTGTCCCACCTCAGTTTATAACTAAAGTATAAAAACTATGGTTTCATACATTTTTTATTAACAAAAATCAATCTCTTACAATTTTTACATTTTCTAGTATTTTTACAAAATTAAAGGTTAGTTTCATATACATCACATTATGGATAAAAAAAAAATTGGATGAAAATAAAAACCAACATAATAGTGGATCAATTAAAAATTGAGCTTAATACGGATAAAATGTTAGTTATTGGTTTGTGTAAACATGATAAGGTGTTTATTGCTCAACATGACGTGCAATTTATGATATTATATTTTTTAACCATGTATATTTAACTTTAATTAGTTTTTTAAAAGTATATTGTGTATATTAACTATCTAGATAGGAAAATTAATTTTATATTTAATGTTAATCCATAGGGCATAGACCATACCACAACTAACACCAGGTTAGTGGCAATCATTGCCAATTACCTTAGACAACACTTAAACGGTGTAATGGAAGCATAACAGTAAGCTAACAAAAAATTGGTGTTAATTTCAATAAGATAATAATTATCATATAAGGTCTAAAAAGAAAATAATTAATTCAGAGTATATAAGTTGTAAAAATGTTCATCTGAGAATACCAAAGCAAATCAAGGATAGTGGAGACCAAATTAATGAATGGTGGGTTGTTGATTTTATTCCCCCTACACTCTACAGGCAAACACACAAAAACATTCAACCTATTGTGTAAAACTAGTAAATTTGATGATATGAAATCACAAAATCAAACATCAAATTGTACATCAAAAACATTCATGTTACAAATTGTTCATTCTCAATGTAACATAAACACATTATATTATAATACATGGTATTACCACACAATTAAATCTAATATATTATGTTTATTTATGTAGCTATATGAATGTCATACATAAATGTATTTATCATTATTTTATGCAATATATTATATAATTATTTGTAATTGTTAAGATAAAAAAAAAACATGACGATAGCTCAAAAGTTCTACATTTAAATAATAAGAAAATAATTATAAATATGAATATATCAGATTTAGAAAAAAAAGAAGACAAATAATTTCATTAACAGTCATTTTAAAATCACTTGGCCTTTCGTTTATCCTCGGAGTCTTGAGCGCGACTGGTACGCCATGAACTTCCTCCGCCCTGTAAATGATAAACCATTTAATATTATAATTACAAATATAGAATATTAATAGTATAATATTTAATATTCATTAGTATAAATTTGTGTTTGCTAAATTCAGAATATTAATTTACTTGATCATTGGACGAAGGTATATCTCGCTTTCTAGGTGTATCCCTGTCAAAAGCTGAGCGAGCTCCATCTCTTGGGGCATCTTTGAAATTTTTATCAAAGGCACCACCAGTAGTAGTGGCACCTCCGCCACGACTCCAACCACCACGGTCATTATCTCTTGAAAATACTCCTTTGCGGTCTTCATTGCCTCTATTATTACTAAACAATGATCGACGTTCAGGCGGTGGACCCTCATCCCTAGTACGCCCAAATCCTCCTTCTCTTCTATCTTTATTGTCTCGGGTAGAGCTAAATAATTTTGTATCTTCTTTGGCCTTGTCCAAATTTCTCCAGGAAGACGACGCTGTGGTTGTTGATGAAGAAAGGAGCTTATTCTTCTCTTCCAATTTCCTCTGTACTTCTTCTTCTTTTTTACGTTGAATCTCAGCTTGTCTTTCAAGTTGTTCTTGACGAGCCCTAATGAAAAAAAAAAATTTTTTTTTGAATAACTATTTAAAAGTTTTGAGTTTTATTTACATGAAATGTGTATACATTTATGTTAACATCATTATATATTTTTATAGTAAGTTTCTACAAATGAAGATGGTTGATACTTACAAATTAGCCAAACGCTCTTCTTCTTCTTTTTTCTTTTTTTCTTCCTCTTCTTTTTTCTTCTTTTCTTCTTCTTTACGCAACCATTCTTCTTCTTCTTTACGCCTCTTTTCCTCTTCACGTTGTTTAATCAATGCTATTTTCCTTTCTTCTTTCCTCAATGCCAACCTATCCTTACGAATAGTTATCAACTCTTCTTCAAACACCACCAATTTGGCCTAAATTATATAAATGAATATAAGTATAAGATAGGTAATAATTATAACATACAATATTTCATACCTGGAACTCAGCTGTGCGGCGCTCTTTCATTTCTCCTAAGAATATATCCATGTCTGGTTTCATTCTAGCCAACCTTTCTCGGTTTTGTTCTGCTAATTTCCGCTCCTGATTTGCTAACTGAATACGTTCAGCTTCTTGATGTTCCCAAAACTTTTTATCGTGAACTTGTTTTTCTTTCCATGCCTGTTCTAATAATGGGATTTCTTCAATTCTCTTTGCTCTTTCAAAATAATCCATTTGTTTTCTGCGATTTTTCAATTTTTGTACCAATTCTGCTCGTTCTTTTGCCAATTCTTCAGCTTCTTTAGCAGCAATTTCATCAGCATCCATATTTTTCAAGGCCTAATAAAAATTTGTTTAAATCATTATAGAAAGACTCAGCTTTTAGTAAGAATATAGTTTAATTGAGTTATTATTATCTACGGACTAACAAAATTTATTGCACTGATAAAATGCAATTGAATTGTGAATTACATTGAAAAGTAAGTTTAAACCATAGATAAATAAAAAATAATCTGCCATTCAGAATAATGAACATAAAGAAATCTCACAAAAATCATAAAAGTTTTATAGTATAATAAATATTAGGTTTCTTTAAAAATATATTAGAACATCGATATCATTTTGTTTTGTGCAATATTGAATAGCAATAAAGAAAAAAAAATGACGTATCAAAATTCCAAATTGTTGATAACTTGAACAAATTGTTTTTAAAAAATTTTGTACAAGTTCTTTGGAGTCAAAATCAGTTGGTTTTAGGTAACCAGAATACCCAATGGCCAGGGGCCAGTAAAAAAATATTTCAATTACGATAAATTTCTAAATTTCCGAAAAAAAAACATTGGGATATTGATATTGTTAAAGAAGCCTAATAAACAATAAATAATATATACATTTTAATTACAACCTATGAAAAATAAGGCTATATTAAATTTAAAAAAACTAACATCTTCATTCAGTTTTTTTAAAACTTTTTGACCATGAGCTGTTAAAGAGATTTGTTGCATTTTTTCTTTGAAATTCCTATCCTTGATAGCTTGTAGCTCAGATTCTTGGCGTCTTTTTTCTCTTTCTTCCCTTTCAGCATCTAATCGCCTTGCTTCAGCTGCAGCAGCAGCCCTGGCAATTTCTTCTGCTCGACGAGCTTCTTCTTCTTCCTACATTCAAAAATAAAAGATTTAGGTACTACATAATCACAACTAAACAATGAATAAAATGTTTTATAATTTATTAGGTTCGTACAATACAATTGATTCTATGTACAGTTTAATTAAAAATGTATACTTACTCGAACAGTATTCAATCTTTCTAAGTATTCTTTACGATCTTCAATTATTTTGTGGCGGGCCAATATTCTTTGATGTTCTTTATCTTTGGTTTCGTGATGATGTCTAATAAGAGATTGGTGAATTTGTTTGCATTCATCCTAAAACATATATTTAACAATTAAAAAGGATGTTTTAAAAAAATGTATTACAATTTTTCCATTCGACATTTTTGTTTACAATAAATGCCATCAGAATAAATGTATAATCATAAATATCATTCCGATATCCGCAAAGATTTATTATTCATCATTAAGGCAAAAAAGTATCTGTGAAGTCAGAATTACCATATTAAAATCATCAGATATCATGTATCCGCAACAGTAATATTATATTCATCATATTATTAAATCAATTTAAACCATCTACAACAATGTGTTTTATAAATTAGTATTTGTATTTTGTACAAAATACCTATATGTCATCAGAATAAATATATAATCAATGAAATCATTCCGATATCTGCAAAGATTTATTATTCATCATTTAGACCCAAAATAAAA